CTGTGAGAGAGAATCGCGCAAAATAATATAAGACATACGGGATAACATGTGAGCACATAAGGTCTAATAGATTAACATTATTGTATATTATAATGTTAATTATATATTAACTATTTTTTAGCTGACAGTATTTAGTAATCTATTATATTATTAAAAGTAATATGTGATACATAAATGTGTTGAACAGTGCCATTAACTCACTGCCAATCGGTTCCGTTATGAAAGACAACGCAATCATAAGTGGGGCCAAAGTCTTGGCGATTAGTGTCGACATCCTTTAGAAAGTCAACTCTCGACCGCAACTCTTTGCGCATTAGCTTCTGGTCTAAGCTATCATTCATGGCTTCCGTGTGTTTCGACTCAAACGCCTGTAACTCTCTGAGAGCGTCGGCCGTCGCCCGTCTGTGTCCGGGCGTCCATTCACTCGACTCATACTCGGCGGCCATCCGTTCGAGCAATGACTTCGGGTACAACTCGTATAGATTTTTCATACCCACGTGGTATTTGCCCGTAGGGTTTGTCCAGTCACCGGATATCTGTGTGTTAACAGTAAATTATGGTTAGTTATTTTGTAATTATATTTATTATAATTGTATAAAAAAAAATTCAATATACTCTGCAGTTATTAAAATTATACAAACTTTATATTTTAAAGTTAGCATAATTATTAGATGTTGCATATCGCTTATAACTTAAAATTGTTAGTAAATTACTGCTGATTAATATAAATTATAATAGCAATTTATTTAACTCTACCTTAAGTTTAGTACCGGTGAGTCCAGTGATAAAACCCTCGTCATCGACCTCCACAACAGTACTGGTGTCCACATCGCCGGCGCCGGAAGTGTCTGCCATATCAATAACCTTTGGTTTACCATCACTTGTAATCTAATATAAATCAAATAAAAATATCATGTTTTAATAAATGTATTGGATTTATTAAATATTATATTTATTACCAAAATGTATTTATTAAGCAGCAGTACATACCTGAAGACCCGGTGCTCCGGGATCTACTCCACTGTCAAATATAGCAATCCTAACACCTCTGCCGTCATATTCGGGGTATTTCTTAAGAAATGATGTGACAGTTGTCTCGCGTTTGGGCTGTAATGCCCACAATGGATAATCCGGTGACAAAACCGGCTCGATCATTATAATATATACTTATAATAATTGTTTAGCACTTATTATATTGTATATTATTTATTGAGATATACTTATCTAGATTAATATTATTACTACTTTATTGCATAAATATATATTGATATATTTATATTATTATTTATTAAAATAAGCACAACATGTTTTTATATATAAATGAACTTTATGAAATTGTTTTTTCTACAACAAATGATTCAGTTGTATGCATTTTGTTGTATTGAAAATCTATAATGCAACTTCATAGAAATAGTACATGTAATATTGCTGATTTATGTTGCAATAATATTGTGCAATCAATAGAAATGCTATTTTATTACTGGTAAACTATTGATTAAATAATAGTATGTTGGTTGAATAAAAATATAATAAAATATTAGGTTAATGGGTAATATAAAAATTGTTTTGTTATTTTCAATGTTTATTTAATATAAA